ATACTATGTAAGTTATGTGAATTTAAATTATTTTTAAGACAAAGCATGCTTGATTTTGTCTAGACAAAAGTGGTCCAGCAGTTTGATGTTAGAACCATCAGGATATTTAACAATATCATTGCCATAGAAAAAGGCATGGGCTTTTCTGTTACGGTTTTTAGAAATAGCAGGAAAGTTTGTGTGCAGGAATAATGTGCATTGCAACTATGATATTTAGCAACTGTATCAGACATCCTTCCTAATTGTTTCCTACAAAATAAACTACTGTAAATAGCGTACTGGGCAAATAGTATTATGATGGAAGTGGACTGGGGTGGAGATGGCAAGGTTTTAACAAAAAGAAAATGCCCTCATAGTTCTGCTCTATTTTTCCTAACTAAAAAGCTGCATCTATAGGGTCTCACAATAAATTCTTGTTTTCTATTTGATTGTTGCTGTGTATCAGTAAACAAGACAAAATTAATATTGTCCTTACACTTTTAAGTTGTTTGTCCTTCTAATAGTCATTCATTAAGCTCTATTCACAAAGCAGTATATTCAATATGCATCTGGATTCATTGCTTGCAAACCATATGCTGGAGAAAAAAATATGATGAGCTTTAATGCTCAGCAGCATTGAGCAAACAAGAACCGAATGGCAAAGTACGATTAGTCTATGGTTTAAATTAAGTAGATGCTTTGGAAGAGAGCAACCGCTCTCTAAAGTTTCCTGGCCCAGCACTTCTAATGTAAGAAATTAAAATCTCAATAGCTGAATTTAGGGTCCATTCTTACCATAAAATTGATCTGAGGGGGGAAAGGGAAAAGAAGACAAACGATCTGAATTTCTAGTATTTCCCTGTTTTATTGCAATACATCAAAGTAGATTAATATTAAGTGTTACCAATGTAAAATATTGGTGGTCTGCCACTTATTACACCTTTGACTGATCCACCTTAAATATTTCTGTGCAATAGAATCTACATCATTGTTCTGGAGCAGAGAATCTCTTACAATGTCCTCTACAACACTGAGGACATGAATCAAAAAGACGAGTGAGAAGAGCCAAAGCAGAAACTTCCCCCTCCCACGCACACACTTGTCAGCTTTTATACTCTAAACCAAAACAAAAAAAGTGATTACATCTAGGCCATGCAAAACTGTACAACAATATTACAATGAAAAAAAAAACCCTAAAAATATCTTTTTTTAAAAAATAAATGATATGAAATCGTACATAAAAAGGCAGGTATAATTCTGTTAACTACCATTTTTTGGTTGTGAATTGCTTCCTCATCAGTGTGACTATGTTTTTTATGCAGAATGAAAAAGGAAAACAATGGTTTTTTGTGTGTGTGTGGAATTGCTTTAACATGCAATGTGGTCTCCCAAAATGTAAAATCTCCAGCTTCACTGATTCCTGAAGGTCCCTATAGATGAACAATTGCAAACCTAGTTTCCCAGGAAAATCCACATGATGATACTTTGAAAGTGACAGCCTTGATTAGTCCTGTTGTTCTGGGCTAAATTTTGCCAGGAGCCTTTCAGTAACCTTCCTCTGAAGGCACATGCATTTCCTGGGATCTCCAAACTGCACCTAGAAAAGGACCCTAGTTATAAAGAGGTAATTCTGTGGTAGAATCCTAACAAGCCAATTTCTTTTTGTTAAACAGACAAGGAAAGAAAGAGGAATAATCTCTGCTGCTGATGCTGCTGTTACACATGTCTTTGTTATCCCTGAAATCCGGTAGCTGAAAAATGACGAGTATTTTTAACATTCACCATCCTCAACTCAATTTATCTCCCAAGTTTTTTACTTTGGAACAAAAGCTTTGTTTGCAACTTAAGATGTATCTCTGGTGAATCACATACCCAGAAGGACATTATTGCATTAATATGTGTCATATTAAAACATCAGTCTGTTTCCAATTACCTGAGTTTAACATAAATGTTATAGTGAATTCCCCCCCCCAACCCTGCTGTTCTAAGAAAAGAAAAAATATATAAATAGGAATACAAAATAACCTGTCAGTCAAATTTTAGACAAAGTCATTAATGAAAGACTGATTCAGAAGAATAAAATTATACAATAGAACTATATTCTGAAAAGAAACATGAATGTTATGTATAGATTGTTCCTATTTTAAATACAGGGTCTCAAGAGGTGAACCATCTAAGGTACAGTTATAATTAAAATCTGATTTATTGAACCTCTTAAATATAACAGGGCACTGAATGAAGTGCCTGAATCAATTCAAAGCAAGCTTCTCATTTAAGGGCCAGCATAGCTTCAAGCTGCATACAAAAGAGATCCTAATCAAATTAGTCAGGATTCAATCTGAGCACATGAAACAGAATCATGTAGGAATGAAAACAGAAATGCACTGCTGGAAACCTCAACTTTACTAGCTAACTCTTAAAAAATATTTAAGAGTGTTTGTACAGTCGGAAAAAAGTACCCAATAATTTATCAATACTGGCATTGTAAGTTCACAAATCCTAATGATGAGTAGTGTTTACATTTATTAAATAGTTTGATGTTATGTAAAACTAATTGTAATCTGCAATTCCTTGCCCATAGCTCTTGTTTGCATGTGTGACAACTATGTCTTCAAGTGAAACAGCTTGATTGCCATAGGACTTGTTGAGGGCTTCCAAGATCATTTCTGAAGTAAATAATTCTGCAAGCCAGGTGCAGTTTAAAACTAGAACCAGAAGCCAATAGGAGGGGGAGGGAATGCTAACCTTTTTCCATGGTATGGAGCAATGACAATGACATGAGCACCACTGTAGGAAAAACTGAAGGGGTTGAAACAGGATCTTGGAATAGTGACTGTCAAAGGAGATGAGAGCTAATAAATTTTATGTGCTGTTCTTTTGTTGCTGTGACTCAATTCCTCGGAAAAGACTTGCAGGAAATTCCTTTAGTATATGTTTTAAGTGGTAGCTCTGAAATTAAAATATTTTGTTTCTTACTTATGACAAAACACACAATTCTGATATTCTTAATAAAGTCAATTCAACAGACAGGTTTAAGATACCACGCTTAAGAGCAAAGTTTTAAGTTTGCCTCCTACTCCCAATTATTCCCCAGCATAAGAGAGCTAAATGCAAACAAAGACACAGAAATAACAGACTGAATACACCTAGATGATTAGAGACAATGATCTCTATCTTCCAGTACTTAATCAGAATTTGTTGTGATTGTAGCTGATGATTTTTCAGAGGTGACCTAGGAAACTGTTACAGATTTGTTGTTTTTCCACTGATGTTAACTGTAATTGTTTGACAATACCCATGATATATTACAAAACTTGTAGAAACTATTATCTTTGTAAAAAAACACCACCTGAATACTTTATCCACTTGAGCTTAAGTCTAGCCTAAAGAAGCAATGATTCTAAGAAGAAAAATCACATTCATCTATTGTGAAAATGCAAACTGTACTCATTTTATTCAATAACAGGAAGAAAAAAGGGGTTGCCTTTCCCCTCCATCTGCATGTTGTTTTTGCCACTGCTTTTCTAGGCGACGATGGATCTTGACTATTCAGACAGAAATGCTGTGCACTGATTAAGCTTTCTCTATTAAGTTCAACCACCAGAATTCTACATCAAAGACAATGGGCATTCTGGACCAGAATGGGTGAACAGATGACAGCAATGAAAATCTTCAGACGTCTTGAATAATTTAGCAAAGTACAACTCTACAAGCGGCATGTTAACTTTCAGTGATCAAGAACAAACTACAAACTTCTATTTTGGACTGAATGATCCTCGTATCCAGTGAATGTAGTTAGTTAACTAAGAAAGTTACTTAAGAGCTTGTGGTGATTAAAAGGCAAAATGGGTTTGAAAGCCTAGCCCTAATCTTCCAAAAGCTCATTCATTTCTATTTGCATTTACTTCAGCTGAGGAGATTCTATAATTGTTTGGACACCCTTCAGTTT